GCAAGAACAGGCTCAATGATTAACTACATGGACTATTGTGGGTGTGGTGTATATTTTGTAACCATTCTTTAGTATATCACTTGTGTGATGTAAGAATGTTAACACTGTTATATTCTTTTTTAGTATAATATGTGTGTGTGTAGAAGTGAATCATTTATTGCTTGCAAACCAATGATGGTAAGATGATGTCATGGGGTAGGACTGGATAAGTCTGACTTCTTCCTACTCCATTCAAGCATGTACTAGGTATAAGCAAATTGATATTGGATTAGCATTTGTTGGATATGTGTAAAATTATGTGTGTTGACATATCAACTGTCTTTACATGCTTGAAAGAAAGAATAAATCAAATTAATCAGAATTCATATCCAAAACAAAGAAATCTTTTCACTGGGTAACAAAATTGATCATGAAATAGATGAGGCAATTATCTTAATAGGCCTGAGAAAGCGTTTTCATTAGCTGGTCTCCACCACACAGACCAGGTACTTTATGTCCTCTCCCCCGTTTATCTCTGCTGTTTTTTAGTGCATGGGGCTGCATTGGCTGGGGAGGTTAGGGGTTGCAGAGGGAGTGTTGTAGGTGTGTACGATAGAAACATGTTGTGACGAGTTGGCGTAATTGGCTTCATTCACGTGTCCAGCCTGAGAGTTTCCTCTGGGTTTTGGTTAGCCATGCTGCTAACATAGCCTACTCTACCTTAGTACCGATTCTACCACCAGCGTGTCAGTACTGTGCATCAAAAGCACTGTTAAACATCCACTACTAACAAAAATGCATGGCGTGTCGTTATGGTGCGTTAACTGTGGCCCAAATTCGACAGTGAATAAGAGTGAATGCTCATGCTAACGAGGTAAACAAAAGAGTCTTCTTCCCATGGGCATCCACATCCTGATCGTCCCCTGTACATGATTGGTCAATGCAGCGCCCTTGCCAGATGCTGTCACTGTCCAATGCAGTGAAAGCAGAACCTAATCCAACTTTATCGCTGCACAGGGTTGTGTCATTTTGCCGGAGCCCCCTGCGGTAATTGCAATCCCCCATAGAAATGAAGGGAAAGCAGCATAAGGGAGGTGGGTTTAATATAGTGACTGATCATGTAAAGCTAGTCTTTGAATACACAGGCTAGGATGCATAACTAATTAAACATACAGTGGCTCTTGTTTGACAACCTACATATAGTATTTTCAGGCTGATTTATATTGAAGCCTTTGCTGAGCTTCTAGAAGCAAATACGGGACTGAAAAAGAGAAGTTCATCCCAAATCCCTCAACCCCTCTCAGCTACTATGACAAAGATACTGAAGTTCCAGGAGGCAAGACAGATGCTCCAAAGCAAAAAAGTGCAGCATATAAGAAAGTGAGCTTACATATGTGGGTGAAAAAGCCTGTAAGAGAAAGAGAGGAAGGGAGAGAGACAGAGAATGGGATGAGAGGGCGAGAGGGGAGGATGCTGTGCTGATGGTTCATCAAAAATTAATGCCGACCACATCGGTATAAAGATCACGTAGTGGAAAAACAACACATGCCAACAGCCTTGAGTCTCCTGCGTCAGCCCTCCCTCCCCCGCTCCCTTTCCTTTTACCCTCCATCCCCTCCTTTGCACCAATACAGGGCCTTTCTGATCAGGTGGAGGGGGGAGATATGAGCTTTGACACCTTTAAGAGTTCATACAGAGTACCATGCCTCTAATTGCAGGAAGTTCCACCAGTGTAGCCGCTGTGTATCTGTAGTGCTGCCCTAATAGCCGCATTTAATATCCCTAAAATGGAGATCTGAGGTGCACTGTGCGTACTAATATGTGTTATTGTTTTGTGTGAGAAACCCATTATTTCTCCATGCTATTTATTTATTTATTACGTTTTTAAAAAGGCAACTAAGACATGAGAAAAAAAGGAAAACAAAAAGAGTAGAGTGTTGAATAGCAATGTGAAAAAAAAAGTGGAGGAGATGGTGTGATGCAAAGGTGGTGACATGGCACAAACTCTGCCCCAAACATACACGACGGGCCTACTTATACAGCCAAGCCGTCCTTACAGTTGACTAGATGGAAGCGTGAGCAGATGCAAATCAGTCACTTTCTCCATACATTATGTGCTGTTCCTTAAAGTGAAAGTGATGACAGAGCTATCATGTCTCTTTTTACTGATGACCTAGTGCAGTGCATCAGTCCATTAAAAGTCCGCTCCTTGCAAATGTGAAGCAATTATATGTGTGTGTGTGTGTGTGTGAGAGAACAGTAGGTGTGTGCCATACCTGCTACGTTGACTCTGTTTAAACCTCTGGGGATGTTCTCTTTCTCCTGAGTTCTGTATGGAGACAAAGAATATGTTCCAAGGGACTATGAGAAATGATACACCTATATACGTAAACCTAATTCAAGAAGAGATTCGACATAATTCACATAAACAAGCACAATATTTTAATGACTGCCCATTTCAACAGGAGACCCAGTGGCACAGAAAGTGAAATGGACATCCTAGTACCTTGAAAAGTGCCATTAGCAAATGAATCCCTTGTGGCACTATCATCATACTATCTGTCAAACGCCTGCTGTGCTGGCCACACACACACACACACACACACACACACACACTTCACACACCCAGTCCTCAGTTCTCTTCTCCAAAGCATTTTTCTTACCACTTAATGCCTCAAATGCAGCAACAGAGAATTCAACGTGAGCAAGCACATTAGAAGGAATAACTAGCAAAAGAAAGTGAAGCCTCTTCAAAGTAGTGGCGTGCTAATAGCTGTGGGCTGTCACTAGTCCTGTGAGTGGGTATGGGAGATCTGCCTGCAAGAAGCCTGACAGGTGTCTTGTGTATACGTCTGTGCACGTGTGCATGCATCGCACTGAAGCAGAGTGCCATCCGTATTACAGGGAAGAGGCTTGTTCCCTGGTAATTGGCTTGTTCAGAAGCCAGGAAGGAGCTCCCAGCAGTGAGGAGGAAACGCACATCCTGTCACGCTGCTTGTTATTAGTGGGGACAAGGCTGAGAAGAGATGAGACGAGCTGTGTGTATGTGTGGGAGAGGGAGTCCATAACGGTGTCAAGGATGAGGGCGTACCAACTTCTCATCTCAAACCACTACACACAAGTGTCCCCCGTCCATAGGCTGGTAGCACTGTAGGTTGACAGTACTTAGCTTGTATACACCCTAGTCTCTCCTTTCCTCGTGGTCTCCTTAAGGAGGACTGTGTGCTGTCAGCAGCCCAGATAACAATTCTGGGCCTGGGGCAGCATGTGCCCTTCGAGGCAGACTCTCAAGACACTTGTGCACAATAACTGAAGTAATGGGGAAGTGCACATCTAATGCCACAGGAAGAAAAAGCTATGCATTATATGTTCTGCTTGCTTTAATCAGAGGTGCAAACTGGTGAGGGTCCAAATAGGTAAATGTTTTTCCAGCCCAGAACCAAAGAAAATAGGCTCTTTAGAAATAACATAAGATATTAGCATAGCTTAAGACAAAGCAAGTTATAGAAAGAACAAGTTATTACAGTAAGGCTCTATGCCTTTCCTTTACATTTATGTTTTTGGCACACTGGTGTCCCTAAATGAAAATTAGAGGCAGAGTTATTTAACCAAACTGAACTGAGTGTTGAAATTAATATTTAATCTGAGTGCTATCAGCCCTCTTATTGAACTCATTTATGTTTACTGTTCAACTTATGAAAGTTACTAAAAAAAATCTAATACATCTATAAGTTGAGAAGAGTAGAGACAGCTTAATGTTATGGGCTCCTCTTGACCTTTATGGCCTGCTCAGCTCTCTTCACAAATTCACTACCCAACATCTTGCCAGGATTGTGTCCTGTGCTCTATGGACGGTTTGAAAAAGCAGACACTGTAAGACAGAACTGAACCCATTTAATACCAATATCTCTTTACTGATACCACAGGCTTGCCTGTGGTATTAAAACACAGACTTCTGCTTATTTGTTCTTCAGTTTGTCTATCTTATTATGAACTATGAATTACTGACAATTTGTTTAACAGATATATATTTACTGACTCAACAGCATAGCTAATTGTACAGAAGATGCTCACCGAGTGTCATACTCATAAACTGATTACATGAATCGGTGACTGAAAATAGGTATAATACCCTGAATTCAACCAGGTTTCACTTCTCAGTTTATCACAGGCTTTATCATTTCAATTTTATTCTTTCTTTTAGGGTCACATAAGTTTACAAGCCCACTGGAATTTCTTTATCTCGTGCATTCCTTGTTTGAGTCACTTTTTCTCATGTCTACATCAAAATAAACTAAACCCCTAGAAGAAGAAGAAGAAGAAGACGAGAGCAGTAGTGAAGGAAAGAGGGGATCTGGTCAGTGCATGAACCAATAGCCTGCACATGAACCTGCTCCCTAGTGACAACTGCACTTCTCCAGGCCAACTACCTGCTGGTGGAACAGCAGATGTCTGATATGGGGTATGAAATGTGTGTGTGTGTGTGAGACTGCATTCAGAGTGGGATTTAGTATGCAAGAAGGAAGATCAAGAGAGGTGGAGATGAGGTGTAAAGGCTAAGGGCTGGTGGTCATAAGGGAAGACACAGTGGCCTGATGGGATCTCCTATTCTGTCTATCTGTTGGCTTCCAGTCCAAACCAGACTCAGCACCGCATGCGTGTGTGTGAGTGTGAGAGAGAGAGAGAGAGAGAGAGAGGGGTCTAACCTCCCTTTGCACCCCTCCTGTCAGCCGGCACACACTGACAGGATCAGACCTGGGCACGACCCATCACATGCCAGCTCCTCGCGCACTGTCTGACCTCCATTTGCCTCTCTCCAGCTTTCACTCCATCTCTCCATTCATGCATCTCTGCTTCTCGCTCCCACACACACTCATCCACTCTCCAGGTGTTCCTTTGTTCCTTCTCACTCACATTTCTCACTGGATATGAACATTTTCACCCCTTTTGCCACATGCTGCCTAGCCTTAAATCTATGAGTGGAAACCTGACAACTGAGGCAGAATAGTGCTGGTTGCATGGTTCTGTTATTGTAGACACACATAAGCCAACACAGACAGCAGAAAAACAACTGAAAGACTGCTACAACTAATTTGACAGGATGGCAGAAAATGGGAAATTTTGTTATAAAGCTTCAGTGAAATCTGAATAGCATCATATATGCTGTTAAACACTGAATTTTTATTAACTGTCAAAACTCTCAAAAGGTACTTTGGGTACACTGCACCTTAAAGACACAATGTTTTGAAGAAGTATCAAAAACCACTGTCTGGATGTGATACAGTCTCAAAAACAAGTTTGGGCAAATGGACATGTACACAACAGACTCATTCTCTGCCTGTGTAAATCTGTTTTTTCAGCTGAGTGAAAATGAGAGAACAGCAGACTAACAATGAACTGCACATACTGCTGTTTGAAATTCACAGACCGATATTTAAATACAAGTAAATTTACAAATTATGCTCATTTTCAGCTTCATATTGTCAGTCAAAGGTTCTACTAGAAAATGTTTACACCCTTGTACTTTAATAAAGTTCATTAGTTTTCTCAGAAACCCCCCCTAAAAACAAAAACAAAGCTGAACAGTGTGTTCAAGCAGGAGTTTTTACAAATGCAGGAAAGGCAGGAACTGCTCTTTTCCCATGTTTTGTGTGTCTCTACACAAACCGGAGACCGATGTGAATGTCAGAAAATGCTCTAAAAGTAAATTTTGGATATGAGTCCTTTAAGGTAAGGTACAGTTTCAGTCTAGTATCAGGCAATGTAATGAGAAAGCACAAGTGGGGTCAAAGGAGACTAATAATGGTATGGACAGACAGCTGTGTGTAACCGACCTGCTGCTGGTCCCCTGGGTGGTGCAACTGTGGGAGGTGGGAACAGTTCTGGAGCAAGCCCCTCCATTACTCTGAGCTAAATGTCCCAGAGCAGGCAGATAGGACATCACCTGTCAGAAGTCACACAGACATACAAGCTTTGACAGTTTACACTTTACACTCTACTGGGATGTTTGTGTCTTTAGCAGATTAAAAGTGAGTAATCAGCAAAAGCAAAAAAAAAACAAAAAAAAAACCCAATCATCTATACCACTATTCAAACTGACAGGTAGTACAGTGGAAAAAAGAACTGAAACTAATACATCTTTCAGAATCATTTTAAATCATTAATGTAGTCAGTCAATTGCTTAATTAGCTGGTGATTTGTTTTCCATTTGTTTATGTCAACTGAACTATTACACTTAAATCTTATACATCACTCAGTGTCTAAATGGCTTTCTAAAATAAACAGCACAACTGTTGTGAATCACGCAAGTAAATGTATGCCTCAAGTGTGTTAATGCTAAAATGCCTGTGAAATACCAGACTGAAGAAAAATGAAACTTCCTGTGGGTAAATAATGAGATATCAAATGAAGAGCAGGAAACGCCCATGAACACACCATTTTCTTGAGAGAGAGAGGTTCATCTCCCACAGTGAATCCATTTTGGCAACAGAGATTCCTGAATATGGCATCAGCCATCACCAATTTAAGCCTGGCACAGGAAATTCTGACAACCAGCTCCACCAGAACCACTGGAGACACATCTATGGGACAAAGCATAAGGAAAAGAATATATAATATGCAATACTGTCTGGCTTATTTCTTATTTCTGTGTTTCTCTTCCTGTGATTACACACACACACACACAAAACAAAATTTAACTAGAAATACTACTTCATGGTTGTGTGCCTATGCCAACCAGTCAAATTCCCTGGTATGGGACAGAAGTGATGTCAGTAACCTTGACCGTTGACCACCAAAATCTAATCAGTTCATCCTTGAGTCAGAGCGAACATTTGTGAGAAATTCTCTAAACGTGTTCCTGACATATCGTGTTAACAGGAATATTATGGATGTACGGACAGACAACCCAAAAACAGAATGCCTCCAGCTACAGCTATCACCGGTGTGAAGGCATGAAAAGACAGCTATGAATTTAAGGACGGCATTTACAGACATCTAAATTTAACATTTACAGACATTTAAATTTAACATTTGCATGAGGTACCACAGCAGAACTTGCAGGGAAACTGAAAACAGATATTCATATTTTTGTTCCATACCCTGGCTGATAACGGCAAAGTGCTCTGCTAGGTCTTTCAAGCCCTTTTCAACCAGGCTCTGGTTCAATTTGAAGTGCTGCTGACACCAGAACTCCACCAACACAGACAGGAGGTCCAGCAGGGTGACCACCAAATCCGGGCTCAGCTTCTCATCCTTCTTAGCGTAGTCCTTTATTTGAGATAAAGGATATGAAGTTAACAAGGTCCAGGAGTATTTTTCTCGTCACATCTGACCCGATAGGCAATTTTGTTGGGTGACATAACACACCACCCGGTGACAATAATAATACACATGTTCCACAGTATTTACCCTAATGGCAGCCTCTACCAAGAGCTGGGTTAGTTGTTTCACAGCATGGGACAACAGGGTGGAATGCTCCCATACAGTCCAGAAAGTTCCCTTCAGCAAAGATCCTGACCCTGATGTCTTAGAGACTCCTGTTTCCTGAAGCGCTACAAAATCCCTAAGCCAGAGAAAGGCAGGAATGAAGGAAGGACAGGCCATCTAATTTAGCTAGTAAAATTATTTATTTAAAAAATTTATTTTATAGTCAATATTATAATCAGTTCAGTAAGTATTAACAAATTATTATTCAATATTATTTAACTGCTTAAATTCATTTGTGAGAAATTCCCTCCACAACCATGTTCATGAAAAGAAAGGAAAAAAAAAAAAGATTATACATAAAAAGTCCAACTATGTACATATACATATATCCAAGTTGTTACCCAGCACTGATAGAGTAGAGCTCGCCCTGGAAGAGCTTGAGGACAAATGCCAGGATGTCACAATGGAAATGTAACAACGTTGGCAGGGCAGGTCCAGGGAGCGGGTGACAAGTGACTTCACTGGACAGGCAGTACCTGAAGGACATAAAGAGAAAGAGAATATATATAAAGAAACTGCTTAGCTGCTTTTAGTGTTCATTAGTTATGTGGTTACTTGTAACATCAAACCAGTTAAAACTGTAAAATGACTTGAGGAAATAATTTCACAAGAAATCTCCTGTGACATCAGGTTTACCTGATAGCTGTCTCCAGAAAAGGCCACAGGCCCGTCTTACACCGAGGGCACTGCAACAACTGGGCATAATATTTTTTCACTTTGCTGGGAGCAAGCCAGGGTGGGTTGGTAAAAAGCAGAGTATGCATGAAATGCTTGAGGTTTCTCAGGAAGACTGATGTGGCATTACCCTGTGACATAACGAAAACAGGACAACTGAAGCTTTGTAAACTGAATATCTTTAGGTTTTAGACAATCATTTGAACCAAAACGGAATTTATAATTTTAATAATAATAATAATTAGTTCTGACCCCAAATTATAGCTTACTTTATCCAGTGACACATATTAAATAAGCCAAACAGGCAGCTATCCAAATTCCAAAATGTTATAGAACATGTTACATTTCATGCAGCTCCTAGAGTTTGCAGCTAGGATTTTCTTCAGTCTGGTAATTCTGGTCCTACCTGCTGTGCATATTCTAAGACAGAGATCAGATATTGCACTGGTGGTAGTAGGCCTGGGAACACATCACTTCTGATTGAGTCCAAGGCTTCACTGAAGAGACCGCACTCTATCATAGTATGAGCATTGCTAAAGTCTGTTTCTGTTGCCTGGAGGAATAAAAGAACAATGATGAAATGTAAGGGGTATATGAAAAAGGAGAAAACATAGCACTCAAAAAGACAGATGACAGAAAAAGGAGCAAAAAGAGGGCAGAAGGGTAATGGAAATAGGAAGCGAATGGGCATCAAAGGTTCCTGGGGGTCATTTCTGACTGTCACTTATTGGCAAATAGCATATGGACTCAGAAAGTGCAGAATGGAAATACATGAGCACTTATAATAGCAATCTGATAAAGATCCACTTGGGTAATGTATGGAGAGGACAGTGGAGGGTATTGTTAATAGGCCTGCCAATCAAAACTCTCAGATCAGCCAACAGTGGTGGTTACATCAGTGACCCGAGTATGATGCTCCCTTGTTCTAGATGTCACTTTCCACTGAAATTTATGACATAAAGGAAATTGAATGACCTGATCTTCTTGATAACACATAGTTATTTTAGAACTGTGATCGGGGTGGGGTATGTATGCATGTCTACCTGTAAGTGTGGATGGTGAGGGGCATGGTAACCCAGAAATTCAAGGAAGCAAGGTCTCGACCGGCCCTGTAGCAAAAAACCCCAATAACAATGTCAAATATATACAAAGCAGACAAAACCAGTCGTATGTAGCTCAACTAAGACGTCAGCACTTCTCTGCGACATGCTTTCACACACAGACAAAAAAGAAACTAAACAAACAAGTGCACACCTCCTGTTTGATGACATAGTCCCTGAGCTCTGTCTCCAGCTTAGAGAAGTCAACATCAACAAAACCAGTCTTCTCTGTCTCTGCGGGATGATTATCTATTATGTTGAACTTCATATCAACACAATTGCTCTGCCAAAGAAAAAGCCAGGCACATTTAGACTTTTAAACCGCATTTTCAAGTCAATAGTCCTACATTTGAAGCAGTCTGAATATACAGTGTTAAAGTAACAGGTTTGAGCAACCACTCAGAAGCTAAATAAAAAGCCTATAAGCCTTGGGTACTGGCTGCACACATAACCCATACAGTATTACAGTTAATATGATAAAGCCTGATAATCAGTTAAAACCACATCTCTTACATAAATTAGTCTGACTAACCCCAAAGAGGTGCTGGACAATGTGGCTCACAGGGTAGCAAGGAGCACCGTGTGATTTCAAGTTCTCTGTAATGGGTTTAGCCATGACATGAGTGACAGAGACATGAGCGGGAGGAGGGAAGCGGTATACTTTGGCCCTGCCTGCTTTTAGCAGCCTGTGAGAGATATTCAAGAATAATATATTTATCATCATACAATGTGACTTTTATTCATACATGGACTGATTGTTGTGATTTGTGGTAAAGTATTTTTATGTGACACCTCACCGTTTAAACATGGCTCTGCGAGTGGGCTCCTGGACCATGAGTAGGACCCTCCAGCCCTGGAAGGCCCCTGTTAGTCTCCCAGTGGCCACCTTCTCCCTCCACTGCCTGACAGGATAGAAGGCAGATGTGGAACCTGTGGAAATGGCTACCTCATAGGGTTCCTCTGGGAGCCAGGAACCATTCTTAACGCTGTCCAACACATAGTCTGGCATCACAACCCACTTTCCTGGTGGGGTGGTGCAGCAGCAGCAACAGAGCACGATCACACAAGAATCAAATTAAAGAGAGAACAATAGTGTTGCATCAGTCTTGGGACTTCAAAAAAGGAGAACTGCATTTAAGTGTTGGAAGTAAATAGTAGTAGTTGAGCAGTCTTGATATAATCAAGGTGATCAGAAATGATTTTGTAACATTCATCATTATTATTGTAATAATCAACCTAACTGACCTGCAGCACAGGCTGCCAAAAACTTCTCGCTGGACAAAACCTGTGGTATTATGACATGGGTGCAGGTGTGCTGATAGACCTGGAAGATAAGAGCTGGGTTTTCATATGATATAAATAACAGATACTTTTGTGGTGGGCACTGAGCAATGATGTCACAGTTAATAACAAATAAACAAACCCATGTTCAGCGCCATTAATTTTGTTTCGCTGTTATGTGAACACTCCGACATCTGTAGAACCATATTAGAAAAAGATGTTGCTAGTTAAATCCCACAGAACTACCATAAACCCTGAAACCAGAGTAACAGATCAGTTGTATAATCTACAGTATGAAGTACATAGTCACACTATAGACTCATGTACCTGACAGGAGCTTTATTTAAACACCTTGGCAGGCTGTTAACAGGATGACTGTTTCTGTCATTCATCAAGTGAACATACCAATTAATATGCCAAGATTTGCTTAGTTTTCTTTATTTGGGTTTCTTTGTGTTGGTGGTGAGACTAATATTCATCTCTGTGGATAGATAGTTAACTTGTGAAGGGCATTTCATTTTAATTGTACTTCCTATAGGCTGAATAATTTTTAAATGCATCAGGAAAAATATGTAATCATAGTTTATGTAGTCATGTAAATATGTAATCATAGTTAGTCATATTTATTTAAACATTTTACAGCTTTGGTTGAATTCTTTCCCCTAAATGGCTACTCACTGAGCCACCTATGTATTTCCCCCCTAGCTGCTGGATTCCTTGAACTAGAACTCTCTTCTTTTCACGGATCTTGATCCCAGAGATCTGGAAAACACGTGTGTAGCTCTCCATCCTGAAGAGGAAACTGAAGAAGAGACAAAATGGTGTTTAAGTATACAAGATGTAAATTATAGGTTATGGAAATGTATTTGTTTCATTGGCATAAAGTAGCCTGCAATTCCTGTTTGACTGCCTTTGATTACGTTCACTTGCTCTACTGGAAAAACTGGGAGAGGAGCATTTGTGCGGTCGAAAACAAACTGTCAGGTGGGTCCTTTAATCAGTTAATTGCAGTTTGAGACCAGTTACCTGTATGCAAATAAAACAGTATGGCCCTACCGAAGTTTTCTGCTATATGAATAGCTTTGACTGAATTAACAACAATGTGCATTGGTTCTTAAACGTTCATTAGCATTTAACTAATTCCCAGATGGTTTAAAACACAGTTAACCTATCAGGTGCCTTTGTCACACAGATGATAACTCCCGCGCAGCGCGAACACACACTGACACCCACATCCAACGTGATTAACGTTTTGAAACAGTGTTGGGCTGCTGCTTCCAAAAAATAGGTTCAATTTCGCGGACAAACAAACATGGCAACTTTATCCTATTATTATTAATAAACAGCCATTAAGTGTTAACACTTACGTAGCTTCACTGCCATATGGTAACAGCTCTAATACACGGATAACTACCACCCCTTCCTCCTCCTCGTTTGCCTCTCCCCTTCTTCTTCTTCATCATGTATCATGAGCAAATAACACAAGGATGCTTTACCGCCACCAACTGGAATGGAGCTAATTTGGAGTGGAGAGATGTTTCAAATAGTAAAATATTTTAAACATATTCGCTATGTTTAAACAACAAAGCCTTCAATGTAAAACATTTTGCTGTATATCAAATTGATGTATCATAAGGAGTATGATGTGCTGGTTCGGACATTCGCTTATTATCCTGTCATTGTAATGAGTAATTCCCCCCCGTTTGGTTTGCCAGTTGGACTTTTCCATCGAGCGGAAGTTTTCATAGAGCTACTTCCAGGTTGTTGTCACGGACGCTTTCTGTCCCCGGAAATACCACAAATTGCTGGATATCATACAGCACTGATTGATTAACAGGCATATTTGATCGATCGATGGCAATGATTCAGTGCTGTTTATGAAACCTCACGGCCGTTTACAAGACTTCTCAGTGCAATGTTCGGTAAACGTCCAGTGACAGTGATAGATAACGTGAAGCTTTCCATCACAGTAATTGAATCATATTGCGTGGTGGTATGTTTGATGTGGAACTAGCGTTGTTTTTTTTCATAACTGCAAAATAGACGTTATAGAGAAATGTCCGCATGTGACCGCATATGATACTGGTGATGTTTCCCCCTACGTGTAATCGCTTAACACGTAGCCAGTCGAAAGACGGATACGAAGGAGCATGTCAAAGGTAAGATACACAAATATTGCATGTGTTTTCATTCAGAATAACGGTGTTTCAGTGCAGAACTTTATGATGCATAGGTGCCACGTGAACAATTCTAAAACATACAAACAGCCTGTCGAAATCAGTCAATGCAGTGGCATTTTTCAGCTATGCAAAGACTTGCTGCTCTGCTCTGTGATCCAAAATATTTGTAGCCTATGTATGTGGTCACATGGTCAAAGACCAGGACAAGCACATTTAAAGTCAACACCTCTGCATCTGAAGTCCAAGTCTCTGTGTACCACTGATCCGTGCGTGTATGCGTGCGTGCGTTTTTAACCTAATTTCCCTGCAGCGATTAATAAAGTCATCTATCTGAGTAACTGGTTAACTCCTGAATATACTGCAAAAGACTATGAGAATAAAATATTATCACATGACTAGTGATAAAGGATCAAGAAATCACATCATTTTAATTTGGAGTCCCGTGAATCATGATTGCATTTTTAACTTAGTTTTGTTATTTTTTTACTTAACTTACTTGCTTACTTTAACTTTTCTGACAGCCTATGGATGAAATAATTAATCAGTTAATCAAACATTTAATCTGGATGGTCTGGATCTCACACAGTTAGATCACAAGGTTAAACAAAACCATGAAAAACAAGTAAAAGTGACGTTCTCTATGATGTGTTGCTTACACCGATAAACATCTATGGCTAATATCAGACAATACTAGAAAAGACAGTGATATGATTTAAATAGAATGTTACTGCACCAAATGAGAATCAACAGCATTTTTAGACCCTAGTGCTGAAATAATTTGTTGATAATGTGTTAGCTTGTTGACAAACATAATCAACAGTAAATCTGATAAGCATTAATAACCATTCCTCAACTAATGAATGAAAAAAGCAAATATTTGCATTTATCAAATCTGATGATTTCCTTCCTCTTTTTTTATAGCAACCATTGTAAATTGATTACCTTTTGTTTTTTGACCTCAGGTTGAACAAAACAAGATGTCAGAAGAGTGTGTAAATTGGGATGGCTAAATTAATAATTAGTCACAGCCATATTGGGCACTATGCATCTTTGCAGTTTGTGATATTATGATATATTAATTTTGTACTTAACATATTTGAATGCAGTTATCAAATTGCAACCATGCAATCTATAGCTTTATTTTTGTGGCCGTTATATGTGCCAGTTTCCTACAGTAAATGAATGTTTAGGAGTACTACTAAAACATTTACTGAAATCATGAGAGTTGGGATTCAGTAAGCTGCACAATGTGATCTTCTGTGACAATGTTGCCTTGTTTTTCATTGGTTGTAATTGACTCGTTTCACTGCGTACTTTAATAGTGTTGAATGATGATGATTATTCCACAAATCGGCAACAGCAAGTAATATCAGGGTTAAGTCATGTATTATTCATTCACTCATTCTCATTGTTATGATGATGCTAAATTTGTGCACTGCAATTTTCAAAAAGTCCTACACATTTTTTAAGAAGCTATTATGTCTACATATTTCCCTGTGGTAAAGAAAGTCACCACCTATACATTAAATTATAGTTTCTACAAGCAACTGCTGATACTCAAAAATACACCATAATGTTCTGACCACTGCACTTTAAAATGTATTGATATAAAAATGTCACTATATCAAATCTGATGAGACTAAAGCCCATCACCAAGCCAACAGGGCTTATTGTAAAGAATAAAATCAGTCAAAAAACCAGCAGAGTGTAAAAGGGCCAAATGGTTGCAAAGTTCTGTAACAGTGAAGCCATGCTCCCCCCTGGGCATGCAAGAGACACTGGAGTTCTCAGCAGTACTGTGATCTTAGAATATGCACCTTTTTTATATGTTATGTTTCCTTTACAGTAGACTGTTAGGTACCCCCTTTAAAATAATGTTGACTTTAACTTGGCATGCCCTAAGTGGCTTTAAAGCAGCAGCCTTGGGGATGAACTGCTAAATATTTCAGGACAAACTCATTACTGTAAATGGGCCTGTGTGTTAGCCTAGCTGGGGTAGACAGGCAGCAGCAAGAGAGATAGGACATTGATGTGTGTCTGTGAGTGTGTGACTGTGTTTCTGCCCCTGTTCTAATAGCTGTGGAGTTGATATGTCAGGCAGGCGGTGTCTCGGTGCCTGGCCCAATTGTCCCTGCAACACTGTGAAACACACAGGGGCTCCTCCAACATCTGCTTTGTAAAGAGCTAATGACAAGACAATGGAGACCGGATGATTTAAAGTATAGTACTAATGAGGCCCTGTGTGACGCCTGGAGAATCCTGACACACACACACTTATATACACACTCTTGCTTAAGATAACAGATGATACGTTGGCCAACCAAGAGGTAGACACACAGCAGACATACAGTGCTCAGACCCTATGTCCATCTGTCTGCATGTCTTTCACACACATACTGTAAGGAGAAGTACAGTTCGTAGCCATTAGTCAAAATTCAGACACTCACACACTGTCTAACTGGGCTCAGGTAATTACAATGGTGACTTCCTAATCCATGGGCTGAAAATCATATTCCCCTTCCAGACAGTGGTGCAGAAGGAGTGTGATGATGAGGGGAAACAGTAAGAGAGAAGAAGAGAAGGAGAAATAATAAAGCAGCAGCTTAACTGGTGAGGCTGTCAGCACAGGAAAATAATATTTGTCCAGCTGGACAGGCCTCCCTTTGTGCAGGCTAAATGAATGTTGAGCTTTCTGTCTGCCCTGTCAGGGAGAGTGGCATAGACTGTATGCAGCAGCGAAGAAGCGGAGCGGAGCGCGGGGAGCTGTTTGGAGTTTGACAGGGATTATTAAAATCAGAGCAGATGACGAGGAAGGGGCGAGAGGCAGAGTGTGGGAAAGCCAAATTGACACAGACACTCTCCATTACCTTCCACTTGACTCGCGTTGATGACAATGTTGATATGAGACCCAGCAACGCGGCACTGGCGTGGGAGTGGCTGTTAGCATGCACGTTAAACACCACAGGGTAGGGGGTGACCCTCAGCTCTGGCAGAGATGTAAGGAGACGAGTTGTTTATTTAAAGCCCTGACTGAAGAGCATCTTACCTCATTGTTTATTTATCTGGGCTCTGTTTTTTTTTGCCCTGTGTTAGTGTGTTGTCTGTAGATGGAAATGAGAGGTTGAGGCAATGCATTTTGATCAGCGTCCTCATACAGCAAATGATTTTCTGAGGAAAGCGGAGAGATGATATGCTTCCTTTTGTTTCAGGTGCAATTGATTTGTGACTCCTAATAAGATTCCTGTTTGAGGAAATTTCAAATGATCCTAGAACACACACCTGTGGGTGTGCATGTGCGGAATGTGTGTGTTTATGTGTGAGTTTGTTGACAGACAGCTACGATAATACAACACTAGATCACGCAGTCAACTTCTGTTGATTTAATCCTAACACCAGTGCTGTCTTTTGCTTTGTTTCATTTTATGAACTGCTACGTGCCATGTGTAGTGTTTTAATCCTATAAAGCCACCTCTCTCCCTTTGTCTCTTCCTCTTTCGCTTTTCTCTGCTCTGCAGTACGGAGCGGCCACGGGGTTTTCCAGAAGATCGTGCCTTTGTGGAGCTGCAAGTTCCAGGGGTTTCCAGTGAGGCTGACTTTGAGAAACACAGTCTCAGTGCCAACAGGTCTGTTAGAGTGCCAAAAGCTTTGACTTATTATGCCCTCCAGGCCATTTTGAGTTTAAATTTAGTTTTTACCCATTTTCTCTGAATTTCACATCCTCCCTCACTTTTAATTGCTTTTTCATTACTTTTAGAATTTATACTTTATGTCAAAGTCAGATTGAAATTAAGTACTGTCACCACTGACAAACAAATATAAGAAGACGAGAATGTGACGGTGAAGTTCTTAAGGCAGAATGTTTTTCAGGGATTATTTTCTGATGAAATCTTCCATTTGTTTCTGAAGTTGTCAGATGAATGACAGGAAGCAGAACACAATGCAATGCGCAGGCTAGCATGAGAACACAACACTGGAAGAATTCAGTAGATATTAAACAGAAACTTTGGCAAAACATAATGAATGTTCCATGCTTACTTTGATGGATTTATATTTCTTCTCATACCATTTTTACATGTGGAGGTTGTTTTCTGTACTGTACTTAAGACTGCCATTCTGAAGGTGGGACAGACACCAGCAGAAATCATTTTAAAGAGAGGAAGAACCTTCTTGATTGACAGATTTGACAATAACACCAGTACTATTGTTTACAAAGGCATAAATACCAGTAGTGTTCCAGAGGTACAGGTCTGATGATTACAAGCTGTAATACTGCCCATCTTTTTCTTTGCCGCCCCATCGAATGATCACGCCACAAAGGTCAGTCATGTCAGTCTGAATGAAGACATTCACTGTGCCAGTCACATTTTATCTAGTCAAGCCGAGGCTCAGTGGCCTTATTTTGAAAACTGAACTGAATTGTTAATTTGGATGGGAACTGCTGTGGGCTTGGTGGTAATGAATATCTGTGTGTTGGATTTTTTTATTTATTATTTTTTTGTGTACATTTTGCAGCCTCATTTGAAGAGTGAAGGGTACATTTAAATAAACTGTGGATACGTCATCTGTTGTGAGCTTAAAGAAAAATTCATGACCTCAATGCCTGCTTTTAAAAACATCACAACGACTGCATAAATACTTTTGTTTTCAATAGAGAGAAGTCCCTAAAGGCAGCTATGCCGGGTTTCTTTAGTTTAAATAAATGGAATAAGAGAAACCTGATGAACAGGTTACACAGATGCCAAACAGGGTTTTTGAAGTACAAAGACTTAAGACGGGCAATGTTTACTGTGGCAGTGGTGTAGAGGAAAGAAAGGCAAGATCATCACTGTGGCTCTGTGTTCATGAATTTAAAATGCTGCAATTAAAATCAAAAGTGGGATTGTAAGTGGCTCTTAGCTAAAGCAAATAAGTCAGTTTCCACAGGTGAACAGTCCGTTTATTAAATTCAGACACACTTGCACAGCAGGGAAAAATGACTGGCCTTTTTCTGAGCTCTCAGAAATGCACCAAAAATCTCTTGAAGCTACAGTAAGGATTTTTTCTTATTTAAGCTAGCCTCGCTGATGTACAGTACACGGGGTGGACAAAATAAAAGAAACATCTGTCAGTATAATGCAATGCATTTCAACAGCACCTCAAAGCTACATCTTCCAAAATGATCATATGGCTGAATCAGCACCTCTCTGAAACAAATTGAACATTACTACCTTCCTGAAGGAGGATTTATTGCAGGACTGTTGTATTAGACTGCATTAGTTTTAGGTCGTTGTACCTAATTAACTGCCAACTGAGTGTACAAGCCTTGTTGCAAATGGTGCACGGGCAGAAATCAGACTAGTTGCATGTAACTATGAGTGTTAGACTAATTACAGTACTTGATTGCAGTAACTGATTTTTTCTCTATAACCCAGTTTTTCATTTGCATGTAAATGTAGTCTATGTCTGCTGGATTTGATTAAGTTACCAGTGTTTAGAGCTTTCACAGAAATGAAAATATTTGCGGTTACATTATGCCTTTCTCTCTGTGTTGATGGTTTGAGCTGATTTGAGTTGATTATATTGAGAATCATAAAAAGTCTCAAACTATAAGAGTTTGTATTTATATTTCTAATATATAGAGTTATTGTTTGATAACATAAACAAAAAGGAGGAATCATTCTTGGTGGTTCAGTGGTGTTAATTATTGCAATATTGTCATAATGTGTTATGGAACAAAATGCAATGTAGCAACTTAAATTAGATTTTTTTTGTGTGCACTGCTACTGAAGATTGAAATAAAGACATCTGTCAATGATGGCAGATGGGTATAATTGGAAGGCACAAATAGATTGATAGAGAGACATGGTGATGAGAGAAGATAAAGCAAATTCTATATTTCGGGTCCTTTATCGTTTCTGGCGTTGTGCAGCTGAGGGCAGATGATGAAGGACAGGCTAAATGTAGCAAGTGAACAAAGCCTCACTCTGGCATCATTAGTGTCTGGGACTCATCCCGCCCTCAGTCTCTCTCTCTCTCCCTGTTCCTCCCTTCTCTCTCTTTCTTTCCTTCCACCTTCTAAATGGGAACATAATAATTGAAGATTCCACATCTTGAAACGAAACCCCTTGGGTAGGTAATTCAAGGCTTATTACCAAAGGCCGGGCCATTTTTCTGCTTTCTAAGCATTAAAGGGTTATTTTGTGTTCCTGCAGATGGGAGAGGGATAACCATTATGAGAACAAAGCATCCAGATAATGGAGAATGGGGATAAAAATAAGGCAATCCTCCTCTCGCCATGGGGAACCACTGGTCAGTATCTCTGTCAGGCTATAACTTCCTCCCAGACTTCTTCGGGACTGCCCTTTTACTGTTGGTACACATTCAGGCAAAAACAATCCTGCAAGGCCTCTCCTTTGCCTCACCCAGGGTGGGCTGCAGACATACACACCTAAACACACATCCATAGATAACTCACCTGCTGCCTAATTGACTTATCAGTGTCTGGGACAAATTACGGAAGTGGAGGAGAGGAAAGGGGAACCGAGAGGTGCAGGAGACAAAGCTGCCCACACCCATGAAGGACTTCAACCTGGGTCAAAGTGACTGGCCTGCTCCCAGTTCTCAGATGTCAGAGATCTGCCTGAAAGCTGCTCTCTAATTGAATGTGATTAAGATAGGCTGACAATGGAGCTGGCTCCCCCAAATTGAAATGCTGTAATCCATTAGTTTTCATCAGAGACAGTGCCACAGTACAGGGTTGGGTGGGGAGTGGGGCTGTGAAGTGGTGGCCACCAGGAAAAGACCTCTAATGAAGTGTCAGCGCAGGCCTGGAGACTACAGACAGGCCAGTTTCACACTGTCAAAGCAAATGGCTCACAGCAGTTTTCTGCCAATCTTGATCAGGGAGCATTATCAATACTTTTACATTTGATTTGGTGTGTGTGTATGTGTTTCTGATTGTCAGGATTTTGCAAACATGTGCAAGGTGGTGTAGTTGAAAGCTTGTCACTGTAAAATATCATGCAGTGTTCCTTTTCAGTGAACAAAAATACTGATCTGTAGTCCTCGCAGTATGTAGCTGATTTCCTGTTTAGCTGTGCGTGACACGTGTGTTAAGTTAGTTTATCAGCTGTATCAGTTCTCCGGTATCATTGGCTGGGCCTTGTGGCTGGGGGGCCCAGGGCTGGGGGCACTAAGTGGGTGACAGGCTAGGTCAGGACAGGATCTGTTTTCAGCCTGTTCATTCAAGCCCATTCACTCCTTTTCCTCTCACAGAATGGAGCCCTTTGATAGAGGAGATATTTAGTTCTCAGGCAGCTGGTTTGGCACTGACTGGAGCTGGGGCTTATTTGCAAGGGATCTTCCTGCCCCCATCGCTTCCAACCACATCTCCTCTAGGCAAGCAGAGGGGAGTGGAGCGCGACAGACAGACAGCCCCACAGGAGCCCACCCACACTAAATTAATTCTGACAAGGAACTTAAGATAACGTCAAAGCGCTGACTAATCGTGGGATTGGGTTGCTGTAAGTAAGGGAGCTGTGAAATGTGCCATCATATCTAATAAAAGACCTCCGGTTGCTCCATTTCTCTCTCAGCGGTGATGAAGGTCGATGGGAGCGTAGTTGTGATGTCGACTGTCTTGGTCTAAAAAACAAATTTCATGTCAGTACTGAAGGTGCATGTGTGTGTATGTGTGTCAGTTAGGGTAAAATGATTGACATGTCTGTCACGAGGCCTAAAGAATCCTTTCCTCTCACTTTCTTCTGCTTCTTTTCTCATTCTCAAGGTCTTTTGTTGAGTGCTGCTGTACGGTTTTTGCCATCACGAGCTCATCCATTGTTGTCTTTACCCATAAAGTTGAATGGTGTTATTTTCTGTGACTCCTCTGTTTTCTACCCATTTTTACCTTCCTCTCCTCTCATTCTCTTTCTGTCTCCTTCCTCTGTGTCTGAGCTGTTAGCAGTGGAAGTCATCAGGTTTGGAGCTAATCCTGCCAAGTTGATTAGGCTGCAGGTAGCTTTCACACCAGCGGGCAAAAGGTCACAACATTGTAGAGAACTGGATGAACTTCTTGACACAGACCATCCACACTGACTTTATAACTTACAGCACAAGGCCCCAAGGAGTGGTAATTGAAAGGTGAGAGTAAAGAAAGAAAATTAGGAAAGTAAGAGTTTTGAGAGGAGAGAATGAAAAGGGGGGAAACACAGAGAAAAACTGTGGAGGCAAAGCCTTTAAATGTATCAGAAGGAGCAAGTATTGATGCTGTAGACATTAGAGTACAGCATTTTGTTGAGTGAAGGTGAGAGTTTGCTGATGAGGAATGGACCTAGAGCGAGGAGTACAGAACCTAAAAGCCATTCTCCTTCCTGTCAACAATCCCTCTTTGTTGTATTCACATATGGCTAATCTGAGTTCCATGGACTGCTGGAACATTTCACAAGTCCCGAGCTAACAAGGTGGAAATGCTACTATGCTGCAGTTTAATCTGACCTTTATTCTGTTATAAAACAAGACAAAAGCCATCCAGTTCATATCCTTACTGTAGTCTACTTAGATTTTCTATTTTTAATGAACTTCAGAGAGTCTGTGAAAAATGAGCTACAGATGGAAGGCCATTTGAAACCTGCTGTCTATGTGAAGTCCTGGGGTGGAGCCCAGAACAAACATCTATGTTTATGACATACAATAAACACACATACAGTGCTCAGTGCTGCCATTTAATCTACAGAGGGATTTTATTGCAAGACATGGCATATGACAGAAATCTATGCTAGAAATTAAATTTAGAGCATTTCTTAGTTTTGCATAGATTCTTAAATGTATTTTTCTTCTCCTTCTATTTTGCCTACCCCGGGTGATTAAAAAAAAAAAGGAAAGAGAAAGTTTTGTTATCGTATGTGTACTGTATATAGAACTACATTTTCTCTGGAACTCATTCTCCTTAGAGAAAGTAAAGTCAGAGGTCACACAAACTGGCATCTGCACAGTCCTTTGTGTTGTTTAAAGTGATGTCTATTAATTTTACACACAGCGCCATCAGCGATCCTGAACCTTGCTGGTTGTGCTTGGACCTTGCTGAAGCTGTGTTTTACAGCTAGTGAGCTTTGGGCAAGCATAGTTAAGAGTTGCCGCATCACACAATCTGGCACAAGTTAAGGGCAGTTCCTTTCCTATACGCTGTTCATTCAAGGTAATGCACAGACATACAGACTACACGCACACACAAAGCCCTACTTTATTGAAGGAGTTGATAGTTTTGCACTATGTAAGAAGTATTTCCTGGCACCAAATCCATTCAAACACATAAAACACACCTGCTGTATAATCAGGGTTTCTGTCAGTCAGCAAGTTGGTGTCAAGAGATTACAGCGAGACACATCATCTGCCCCGCCTAAAGATGAAGAGAGAGGAATAGAGAGAGGATGGTAGCATTATGCAGTGTTCAGTCTAGAGGATAACAGTTTGTAACAGTCTATAACATTTTATCCCCTTGCGTTTCCCCCCTCTGAAACAAAAGTGTGTCAGATTGAACGGTTATTTAATGTGGTGCCATTGTAAGACATCTGGATCCATTCATGGCCCCGGAGCAGGCAGGAGGCAGTTTATAGACCTGCAGTAGAGGATGAGTTGTCTGATGAGGAAATGTCACTTTGGCTTTGTATCATGTACACTAACGCACATACACGCACATTCACACGCTCACGCTTGGGATACAGAAATGGAAAAGTGCGACTAATTAATATTTTCATTTTCTACTGATTATTTATTTGAATATTATCATTTAGCCTATGAAATGTCACATTTTATGACAAGTGCTCATTACATACTAATTTTAAATGACTTAAAAACACTGCAGAGATAAAGTTCAGTAATTGGACAGCAGAAGAGGACCTCCGTCATCATGCTAAGACATCTCAGAGCTCTTTTTTTGTTTTCCATTCTTCCTTCTTAATGCAAAAATATATATATACACATCTGCCGTTATCTGATTATGAGAGCTTTCTGTCATTGATTGTCTTGATTTTCTTTTCTTTGACTTTTGTTGATCAACCAGCCTGAGTACTACAGTACATTTACTACCACACACACATACTGTGCACACGTTCATCCACGGGACTGTGTACACATCTACAAACACGCAGTCACACCTGAACACAATAGCAGTGTTCACGACACCATAACATGTTTAATTATGCAGGTATATAGGCATACACACACACACACACACACACACACAGTCTTACATGGCCAAATATATATGCATTGATTTGCATGGAAATGACGAAACATGTCGAGCCCAAAGATGTCATTTCTAATCTGTCACATTAACGGGGAAGCAGAATAGCTGATGCAGTGTGTTAAAATCAAAAGAGCTGTGTTTGTGTGTGTGTGTGTGTGTGTGAGAAGGGGGAAGAGTGTGTCCCAGATGCCGGCCGGTGCCTCTAATGCCAGTTCGTACCAGATGCTTAGTACCCTCACACACTGATATATCGATGTCTGTGTTCATTACTGTTGATGCTTCAGTATCTGTCTTGTCCTTTCGTGGTACAGACAATGAATGAGAGTGAGGAAAAGCCAAATGCCATGCGCTGTGTAGGTCCATGTGTATCTCTCTGTATGGTGTATGTGTATTTGTATGATTGTAACATTGCTTGTTTTCTGTATTATCCCTGTGTGTGCAGCAGCATCTTCATTTGGATATGTTTGAATGACCCGGGTGCACATGATCGCTCAACAGTCTTCTCAGTGTACTAGTAGATCTTTACAGTCATACTCTTTGTTCACTCTTGTACTCTAATGTGTACTGTTTTAAAGCCCTTAGCTTTCAGACTTACACAGTGTACAGTATCTTCCCTTTCACTCAGCCTTGAGCAGCAGCTAAAGGAGCTCCAGACCAGAATGGGAGACTCCTGGACAGGGGAGCATCCACGCCGCCCTTCAGAGTGCCTACAGTGGTTCAACCTCAGAACGTACAATGGTGTCCAGCGTGTTACTACAGGACATCAAGAGCTCATAGACTTCTTCAGAGCTTTGGTAATAACATCACAGTGTTGATTACACTGACTCATGGTGATGATAAAATTAATAGTTGATCATAAAGATTTAATAATAATGCTTTGTATCCTCCACCGCCTTCTTAACTGCACTGGCGTTCTGCTGTTATTATTATTAGTCACCTGCTGATCTGATTCTGCTGTTATTATTATTATTAGTCACCTGCTGATCTGCAGAACTTAGTAAATGTATTGGTACAAGGATCCTTCATATTCTGAACTATAGTGTCATGTCTGTAATGTTGTGATCTTATACTGCATTGTCTCATAATTTCAGGTAGTTTTCTTCTTCCTCCAGTGAAATTAACAATTTCCTTCCTCTGTTTTATTCAGCAACATTACCTGAGATCTGAAGACGAGGGGAAAGAGGAGGTGACGCTTCAACTAATCCTGAATTTGTCTGCCCAGTGCGGTGTCTGCTTTCCTTGTACCCCTTCTTCTTCCTCCTCGTTTTCCTCTCTTCATCCTCAATTGACAGCCTCCTCTATCAACTTGATACATACAGTCAGAGATGATGCTTCATTGGAGGTAATACACCATTTTTGATTCAGTTTACTGTTAGTCTTTACTGTGTTCAATTTGTCACTGGGTTAATTCATTAATTACTTGTATTATTATGTAATTCCACAGCTGAGTTTGTTGAAACAAAGATGTACTTAGCTGTATAGGCTTTAATTGTTGTGCCTTACCTGAGTAATGACACTGGTAACCAGAAAAAATGAATGTACAAATGCATTCTAAACATGGCGTGGTTAATCATTAAAGGATTTTTGAACAAAGTGTTCATTTTATTTTGTCCTTAAGATCCAGGAGTCATGGGATGATGTGCGTCTCCAGCTGCGCCGCCACCTGCTGGGCCGGCTGTCTTCCAGCAGCCGAGACCATCCTGGATCCAGACAGATTTCCAATCTGTCCATCCCTGAACGGGTCCGCTGTCTTCAGCAGCTATTATTTCTTTATCCTAAGTCTGAGGTGCTCGCTTGTTACCAGGTAAAATAATGAAAAAGCTTGTTAAATAGTCCATAATTTTATGTATGAATAAAATGTCCATTTGTGCTAAACATATGCTTTTCCATCACAGATTAGTCATGAACTATGTTATTGTTTTCTTAAATTCCAGCTTAACATTGTGAATTTTTTGTCAGAATATGACAGAGTAGTATATTCATAATTTTACAAACATATAGTACTTTGATTTTATGTATCCAGGGCCTAAGAAGTCAATCTGTGCTGGATATTATGCGCTCATCCCTGAGCTCCAGCTCAGGCGGTGAGACTGGCTTTGACAGACTGGCTATGAGTTTCCGCTCTGTGGTCCCTGCTCTGACCCAAGCCCTCACAGAGGAGCTTCATGTCCTTTCAAGAATAGTGGAACCACACGCCATCCTCGGCTTCCTTAATGCAGTCTGCTTCACCACTGTGGCCCGAGAGCTGGCCTCCCTGGTGGAGACAGAGTGTGAGACGGCTCTGAGGGACAACCCCACCTTTAGCAGCAAGATCAAAAAATATTCTGCTAAGTCCCGTGCAAGTGTCGGTAAGTGGCTATTTTTAAATAGTTTTAAAATCTGTTAGTGGTGGAAGAAATATTGTTGTTTACTTAAGTAAAAGTAGCAATATCACAGTGTAAAAATACTTTGTACAAGTAAAAGTCCTGCATTTAAAATGTTACTTAAGTAAAACTACAAAATTATTAGCATAAAGTATACTTAAATTACTAAAAGTTAAAGTTCACATTATGCAGAATGGCACAGTTCACGTTAGCATATTATTGTACTATAATACTGATGTACTATTGTGTACGTCACATTTAACGTTGCAGCCGGTAAAGGTAGAACTACTCTTAACTACCTCATATGCTTATACTTTGAAGTACTTTACATGCTGCAGGGTAACTTGTGAATTTTCCCACCAGGGATCAATAACGTCTTATGATTATACTGTATTTTCATTAATTAATCTTATTCTGAAAAGTAACTAGTAACTAAAATGATCAAATAAATGTAGTGAGTTAAAAGTCAAAGTATGAAGTAGCTGAAAATGAAAATACTCAAGTAAAGTACAAATATCTCAAATTTTACTTAACTTATAGTACTTGAGTGAATGTATTTAGTTACTTTCCACTACTGGTTATTTACTCTTACTGCTCATTCTTTCTTTTTTCTCTGCTAGTTGGTGGTTTGTTCATCTTTAGATGGGCCTTACTGTTGGTTTTCCTTCCATTTCTACCATCTTTTTTCTCTCCCCAGTTGGGATTTTTACCTTTCTGTTACTTTCCAACTATAATGTGCAGTGATCTGAGCCAGAGCCAAGGCCTCTTTAAGTGATTGTCAGTAGCTGCTGTTCCCGTTGTAATTGCTTTATTTTTACTGCCCTCTTTCCCGTCTGCCTTACTTTCCTCCCCCAACAAAAAGAGAAGCGCAGCATTTCCAGGGCCAGTGCTTCTGTTGAAACTGCTTTTTAAGACTATTTAGCCATATCCGAGGTCTGCCGACAGTGTGTTTCAGCCAGAGTTAATTCACTTTGTCGCCTTGATTCTAAGGCAATTGGTAGTGTGCCAGTGGGGTTTTTTGTGTTCATAACCATAGCGCTGTTGCCCTCTTTACATGAATTTCATAAAAAGATCAAAATAAAGTTTATTAAAAGATAACAAGGACAGAGCAATAGCACCTAGTGGTCGACCAATTAATCAGGCCAATTTTCTCCATTTTTAGGTGATCGGTGTCGGCCGGTGACTGCACTCTAATCGGCCGATGTGTCTGCAGACAAATAATGTGTGTGCAGTGGAAGTGTTTACAACTTTTTGCTGTCTCAGGAAAGTGCTGCCATTAAGTGCACTAAAATGTTTTATTTATCTTTTATTCATAAAGGGTATATTTTACAGTTTAGTTTATCGATTATTCTTAAACATTTGTAAAATTTTAAAATTAGAAGGTGAGTGCAGATTGTAGCAAATAAGAGACAATGTTCAGTTTTTTAATTTTTCTTTTCATAATTCATTAAGGTTAAATAAATTTTCATTTAAGTTTCAGAAATATTCATATCGGCCATTGAAAAACCTATATTGGTCGACCACTACCTGTCACCTCTCAGTGGTGAAGGGAAATCAGTTTTTCTTAACCTTCCTCTTACTTTTGAGCAGTGGTATAGTCATATAGGGAGAACAACAGGAGGTTGAAAAAGAGTTGTTGCAAGAAGAAGAGCAAGGCTCAACATTCTCTCGACCTTGTTACAAAGTGCGATGGATATTCGAGAGAAAAAATATGACAAAGTCCTACTATAGTTTTCCACTAATACATAAAGTGCCACTGTAATGGAACATGCAATGATGTTATACATCGAGACTAGAGAAGAGCACAGACCTTCAAACACTTAATTGCTGCCATATTCTCTTTTTTGGATTTATATTGGCCTATTTACAGCTTGCTGAGGGTAAAGATTCACAGTAAAAAAAAAAACAAAAATAAAAAAATGAGGAAAGTGTGTGAGCCATTGTTTACTTTTTCAAAAATGGTGCATGTCAGCTTCCCTGCAGAATAGGGAGAAGAGTGGTTTTACATCTGCCATTCTTCGATAAACACGCCACCAGCCTTGCTTCTGTTTTTCCCCTCTCTCCCTCCCTGTATCTCTCTCTTTCCATCTTCCTCTCTGGTTTTTACTTTCCCTCTCCTTAAACGTGAGATGAGAGGAGGCAGCCAGGATAATTGGCCATGCGTCAGTCGGGCTGTTTGATCACGTAACGCGGCGGAGGCTACACACCTACATGCCGCTCAACAAACCGTCAAATGTAGCACCGGAGGCAGAACACGGCTCCAAAGGGAGCGGGGGACCCGTGCTGTGTAATGATGGTAAAATGGAGCAGTTTTGCCTGTGCTGGTTTTACGTGTGTGTGTGTGTGTGTGTGTGTGTGTGTGTTTCACTATCAGCGGCAACATAGCTTTGAGGGCTACAGCTGATATTATATTTTAGTGCCATTCATGTTTTAAGTAGCCCCCCTCCCCAAGAAAAAGTTCAGTAACCCATATATCCTCCACCCAAACACCAGTGGTTCCTAAAAAGCCAAAGCTTGGACATTGATGCATAACCTATTAATAACCCCCACTTTACTGTCTATACTGTATGCTGCACTCATAATTGTCAAAACAATTATGACAGTGGTTAAAAAAAGCGCTTCTATTCTCATAAGCATCCAATGCTTCCTTAGATCTCTCGCTCCTTCCCTGCTGTGTTATTGTTTATTTTTGCAGTACAGGTATATTTTGATAAGAGCCATGCCTGGGAGACTGTACAGGCTCCCAGAGGAGCAGCGCTGTCTGTAGCATCAGCCACTGTCAAACCACTGAACCATTTAACAGCATTCACAGCGAGATCTACCTCCTCTTTTAACCCAGCCGACTCAAAGGCATTCTCTGACATTGTACCTAGACAGATGTGAAGGGTTTCAGCCCTCTTATTTTCTTCCTTTTCTTCTTCTCCCCCCCACCTTTTACTTTACTCCATCTCTCCTGCATCCGCTTCCTCTTGTTTTTTTCTTGTCTTTTCCCATTTACCTGTAGTTTTCCAAGTGTAATGGGGTGAGGAGTGAGACTGTGGAGTGTGCTAGACAGGTTGGCTGGTCAGGAATAATGCAGGCTTTAAACCTTATTGACATACCTCACTGAGTCTACAGGGGAGTGGGTGGGACAAGTCCCCATGTCACTGTGTGTGTGTGTGTGTTTGTGTGTGTGCCTGTGAAGGATTTTGCCAAAATAAAGCAAACACTAAAATGTACATTTTTCAGTCACAGTTGTGATACTTCAGCGAAATCATCAGAATTGTTTAACTCTGTGATTTTTTACAGTAAAAATGACATCAGACAAAAAAAGGCCATTACACACCTTTTCTCCAAAATCATCAGAATTGTTTAACGCTGTGATTTTTTTACAGTAAAAATGACATTAGACAAAAAAGGCCATTACACACCTTTTCTCCAAACAGTGTAGCTAGTTATTATAAAATATTAGTGACCAGAACTTGGTTGACCCTTGTTGTGCATACACTAATTTCAGGCTTAGTTAGAAAATTGTGTCATCAAGAGTCATTTAATACCTCCCTTTTGAAAATGCATCATACATTTCCATATGGCATCATTTGAATACGTATGCATAGGAGATCCATGTTTTATTGTTAGGACATCAAAAGCTTTCATTACAACTTGTAACACACATCCAGTTTATTCCCAGTCAACCACTGAGGTGGGATTAAGGTTATGAAATTCTATTCAAACACTTTACACTATTCTGATACTGCTGATTATGAAGTTGGCAGCTCCCTATAGAGAAAAAAACGATTGAGTTAGAACATGTATAGCGAGCACATTCACCCCCGCTGCACCCACCCCACCCTCTCACCCTTTTCGGTTCTTTGAACTCTTTCTCAGAGAAAAGCACCACAGCCTTTTCAGCGGGGAGAGAGGTTCTGTAGTGATGCGGCATAGCTAGGCTGAGGCTCTGACTGGCATTGGAGGTGCTTGTGGGGATTGAGGCTACTTGGGAATGGCGTTTGTTAATATTTAATAAGAGCAGCTCCTCACTAGATCATATCTCTGCCTGAGTTTATACACACTGTCACCCAGGGATGTGCACCTGCATGCTGCCATGTAGTTATGAGTGTGGTAGGGGGGTCTCTGTGTGTGTGTGTGTGTGTGTGTGTGTGTGTGTGTGTCTGTGTACACGTGGGTATGTGTGTATGCGTGATGCTGCCAGTTTAGGGATGATGCTTTTTATGCCATTCTCTTCCTGTCTTTGTAGACAATAAGAAGCCCTTGTTTAGAAAAAGTTGCCACACAGAGCAAGTGTTGTTTACTAATCTTAATGAAAAGAACTGGATCTTTGCTTTCTGCTTGTGTTTATGTGTGTGCATATCAGTGCTCTTTTTTTTTTTCTAAATCATGGCTCCAATGAAATCACAGAAAAGAATATCTTTCATGGCCCCTGAGAGTGCGTATTATGCATGCTGTTTATTTATTTATTTATTTATTTTCCATTTCCTGCGAATGGTCACAATGGCTTTTGTATATCACTCTTGAAAAGCACAAGGATATGAACATTTCTATTGAGAAAGCGCAGACAAAAAAAATGGCTGGCTTATTGAGAGCAGCCAGCGTTTTGTGATGAAGAGTCAGTGTGATTCACCGAAGGCTTGAAAATAATAATGCGAACAAGGGCACTAAACAAGTGGGTTTTAATGAAATGCTTCCATCAAGACGATACATTCCTCCATGTTCTTCATCCAGTCTGCTTGTCTCAAGTACATAGAGAAAGCCAGAAAAATCTTAACCCCTCTCTCACTGTCACTGCAACATTCCCTACAAAGAGAGCCAGAAACAAAGACAAACACAGAGGAGGACTGAAAAACAAACATAAAGCAAAATCAAGTTAGCTCTTTTCTCTGTCACCGCCAACACAACTACATTTTATTAAGGCAACTTCATTAGGATAATAAATATTGCTACTTTCCCTTTCTGCTACTTTCTGTGAATGGCAGGTGGCCTCTATTGTGTCTTGGTTGGACAGCACTCAGGGAAAGGGCCACAAGAGACCAGGGCTGGGGTGGTTTGTCTGCATGAACGTGTGTGCGCATGTGTCACAGTGTGTATTGGGGAATCACAGCAGGAGGCCTCCCATAATAAGACTGTCTGAGCGAGCAGTGGGCCGCAACTGACGAAGAGGACCCCAGCTGTCACTGGGTCTAGCGGGCGGTCCACTGTAGCTCATAGCCTTCTTCTATCCACAAACGCACATGTAAATGCACAGACATACCCCAAGGCACCCACACGACTCTGCATGAATACACAGAAAACAAAAGTACAAGAAGAAATACACAGAAGTGCTCAACCACCATAGTATTACACCTACCAATACTCACAAAGAAATGAGCTAAGTTGGCTCCTCACTTCTGCTTAAAGCTAGTGGCTTTTGGCTACATTAGACAATATTTGTCCAAATGTCCGACTGAATTATTGGTGGTCAAGTTGCATTGTTGATGATGCCAGTGACCGGTTTTGACAAGAAAGAAGTATTCCTGGCAAAAAAAAGACAGTTTACATGTATCAGTTTTGATATTTTTGTTTAATTGTCCATTATGAGTCCAACACTGTCATAGAAGTGCAATCCTAAATAAGGGGAGTTCTCATTTAATTAACATAGCTACATTGATGATACACATAGAGTATTTTTATATCTCTCTACCCTAATGTCTATGGTCCTATCTGCCTACAGTTTTAAACAAATGAATGAACAGATGTTCCAGCATTGACTTCAACAAAAAAAAAAAATAATAATAATTTGTAATAATTTGATTTTGTTGTTCGTGGACATATAGAGCCAGGCTACAAATATTTGTTCTTCTGGACTTAACAACATGTAAAGCACCTTGTGAAATAGATGTTAAAATTGCCTTGCCCTCTGAAATTCTTCCTTCCTTATCTGTCTGGATCTAATGAAGCCAAATGCTTACATCACCTGTAGAAGGAGTTGTACATCACACATGTGCACAAACAGAGAAGACATCTGCACATACTGTGATCACATGATAAGAGACTGAGACAGACTACTGCTCTGATTTACACTACAGAGGGACAGAATAGAAGAAAGGGAGGAAAGTGAGGGACAGGATGATAGAGGGAGAGATGCTATGCTGGAGAGAAATTAAATCAGCGGCTAAATTATTGCATGATTGCCCATTCCCCAAAGACTTGGGCATCATTTGGTAGAAAGTGTCTAATAATTGGTTTTCGGCCATGTCAGACACATGCAATTCCCCCTACTAATGGCTCTGTTACGACGATCTGGGCCTCCTGGGTCAAAGAAGGAAAGAAAATAGCCAGGCGGCAAAAAGCGTCCTATGCCCTTCTCCTCTTTTTCCCTCAGATAAACGGAAGAATGACAGAGAAAGACAGAGAAGGGGAGAGATGGCAAGAAGGAGAAAGATTCTATGTGAGCAAAGAGGAAATGAAGTGGCAATAAGTGCAGCCAAAGGGGAAATGCTCTTCACCGTGAGTTTAATACATCAGACTTGGGATTTGGCAGCTCGCCACACAGCAACTGTTTACCTTTTTGCTCACTGGCTGCATCTGTTCTGTTTTGTAAACGGCACTAAACTATTCGCCCGTAAACACCGGAATCAATAACAACTGCTAAGGGA